CTTCTTAACATTCTTCTTTTTGTACTTAAGAATGATGTATATAGTATTTAATTTTTTTTTTCTTTTTTGTTCTTATTTATAATTTTTTTTTTTTTTTTTAACACTGTGCCCCCTCTGAATTGAAATCCTAACTTCACCCTGAATTTTTTTTTTTGGTTTGATGTATATGGTATTTAATTTTTTTTTTCTTTTTTGTTCTTATTTATAATTTTTTTTTAACACTGTGCCCCCCTGCTCTTTGTTTAACCGCTGACCTCAAACCAAGTTCTAAAATAATTTTTTCAACCGAAGGACTTTCACTCGCACACGGAAACATATTTTAAACAATACAATACAATCTATATGATCCAAATAATACAACAAGACAAATTAATTAGCACAAATCTAAATTTAGTTCCATCACTTTGAATATATATACAAATCAAGAGTAATTCCCCTACATTACGTTGAATAACCCCACAAGATAAGAGTTTGCTATATAATTCTTATTCGTCATTAACCATCCACTCTACTAGCTCCACTACACATGCAGTTTCTAAAGTGCGTTTTCATTCTTTTTCTAATTCTCTCAAGTGATTAACAATCTACCGGCAGTGCATTTATAAGGGAATGCAAAATATCTAAAGTCATATAATTAATGTGTAATAAAATGCAAAATATTTAAAGCAATTTAATGTGTAATTAATATGTAAGTAGAATAATGACTGAGTGAAGTGAAAATTAAAATTTGGTGACCAAACCTAAATGAAATTGCTGTAAATTGATCTTAAAAGTCGAGAAAAAATCAATAGTCACCAATTTTAAAACTTAATTGCTAACAAGTAACAATTTGATTGTTTATTATATAAATATTTTTATTGTAATATATATATTTTTTTAATTAAACAAATTTATCCTCAACATTAAACACTTTTGTTGTTCGACAAGAGGATAAGATGAAGACGAAGAGAGAAGGGAATGGAGGTGTATTTGAATAGTGTTGTGGTTTTTAATCTTTTATTCTGCAAACAAGATTTACCTTTTATTGACTTTAATATTACTTTTTAACAATTTTGTTTACGTTTGGTCACCAACATCTAATTTTTCTATATAAAATAGAGTCAAGTCGATCTATATATATCTAAATATACATTTATATTATAATTATATACTTTTACTTTTAATATTTAAAAAGTACAGGTTCTCACAAAAATATGAAATATGGGGTGCGTGAAATTTGTAAAACAATTAAAGCAGTTTGTATAATGTACAATAACGGCAACCGGCCCACGAAAGAAGTGTAACGAAGCAGAACCAAATCCTTAGACTGTTGTTAGACAGGCAATGGGTAATGTCCAACACATAAAAGACGAGCAAGACCCAACACCCAGTTCTTATGCAAAATGGCCTAGGTAGAGCTAGTGCTCAGCTCTCCGAATGAATGTGTCGTATTCGAATTCCTTTTTTTAGTTTGATCATATACAAAATAAAGGTATAAAGAAAACTATAGATTGTAATTATTTCTCCTCCTCTGTCCTCTTTGTGAGGGAATAAGAGCCTTTTGTTGTACGTTAATCCTTCAAGTACCTCGCCATCTCTAACACTAAAAACAGTGGGATGCCAGGAACTACCCTCGTATTCATCTTTATCTTTTGCACGTAAAGTTAGCATTCTTTTTCCAACTCGCCCCACCACAAACACTTGTGCTTAAATTTCCCGGAAAAATAATAATAATAATAATAATAAATGGTGCTAGTACAATGTACCCTTTCATGTTCGCAGGTATACAACACAAACAACTATGATGCATGTGCACAGTGCAACTGGCACACCAAATACGTACTCCTCTTTCTCATGTTTGCATTTCATATATGGTAATGTGCATGCATGTTTGACATTAATTCATGACACCGAGGCAATATCCTTATAATTAAATTCATTAATGAACACTTCTGAGGTGCTTACATATATAATTGGAAAAATATGTATTCAATGCTATTCCTTCACGCTTTATTATGCTAATTATGTCTTTGTGTATATGCATGATTTATGCGCATGGATGGTTTTCTTTTCCCCCTATGTGCATGGATAAATGATACAAATAAGATAAGTTACATTACATATATAGATGTATATTAAATTATTAATTTGTATATTCAAGCCTGCTACATAGGGCAATATTGCGGATTTGTGTATGTTTACTCGAATTTTAAAAAAAATAAAATAAAAAATATATTTGGATATATAAACCATATGTATATGTAAGTGTGTATGTACTATATATGTACCAATATGTGTACTTTTGATGACATAATCAGCATGCTCTTGGTTCGAATTGATGAAACCTAGCAAAAAAACAAAAGTGGAATAACTTTTGTATCAATGAGACTTTTCAGATGTTTACGAATCAATATATATACATTTATATATGTGTGTGTGTTTATTCCTTGATTACTAGAAGCACAGGGAGTCAAGGACATCACTATATATATATATGACATAGAGTGTTTCAAAACATTTATAAATAAAAAATTAAAAATTAATACTGCATATATAATATGTATTATTTTCACTAGCTTGTTACATATGCATAGGTGGCAAAAAATGAGAAGATAAGAATGGGGACCTCATGACACATGCATATCTCCTTTTTCAATGTATGGCATTTCTATTAACATATAGAAAATAAGGTAAATTACATAGACATATCCTAGGTCATTATTTAGTTAAATGAAAATTTTAATTTTAATTTTAATTTTTACTTACACCCCAGCTTGATTTACTTTTTAATCTCTATTTACTTTTAACATCTGACACATGCCAATTGATCCTTTTATTTTTAATTTTTTAATACAAAATATATGTAATTTTAAATGACTAAAAAGTCCCTCTGTATATACACTGTTCTGGATATTCCTTTCTCTCTCCTCTCCGTATTCTCTTTCATCTCCCTGCAGACAAAAAATATGACCCCCAGATCTCTGTAATCAACAATCCAAATCCATACACCCAATCACTATCCCCACTATCAGCACAACCAATTCAACCAACCAATCACAAATTCGGATCACTGCCAACAAACAAACAAAGAAATCACTGATTGGGATTTTGGTAAAATTCAATCAAAGATTCTACCCATCAAGCCCGCCTCCAACGAAGCGGCTGCCGGTGCTAACGAGCATAGCTGTGTTCGGCGTTGGGCGGACACAAGAGGTGTCACTACTAAGAACGGAAGCTTGAAGCAGAGCGGCTGTCAGGGGCGCTATCCCGGAGAGTACATTGAGCTTTATGCTCGGCTATGGCTGCTGGTTTGTGGAACCGGCGATTCAAGTGGTGACGAGGACGATGAAGTGCCTGTGGAGGACGGCAAGATCGGAACGCCATGAATAAGCTTAAACAATTTGTTCGCGTGGGTTCTTCCCTCTTCTCCGAGGCCATCGTCGCCGGTGATTCGCAGCCGCCATTCCGCGCTCGCCCGGCCACCGCCACCTCCAATCCACAACCCAAAACAATCCGGCTGACCCCTCATTCGGAGCCGCCGTTCCGAGATTGCCGGACCACCGCCACCTCCAATCCCAAAATCAATCCGGCTGACCCCTGTTTTGTATGTGTGTGTGTGTGTGTTGGGGGGTGTGTGGGGTGGATGAGATTGATAGGTGGAGTTCGGGTGAATTGGACGATGGTGCAGAGGAAGAAGAGGAAAGGTCCATGTATGTTAAGAGTAGTTTGGTCACAAAAATAGTCAACATTGTGTCAAAGAGTAGTATAATTCAGTCAGGGTAATACTTAGTTACTGGTGAGTAGGTAAAGCTACTAACTTCTTATATAATTTAATAACAAAATAACACATTACATTTAATAATAAAACAATTCATACCTAAAAATACTATATATATTTATTTGATGGTTGATCTAAGAAAACAGAGAAATATGTGAATTATTTTATTATTAAATGTGATATGTTATTTTGTTATTGAACAACATAGGAGTGAGTAGCTTCACCCTATTCACCGGTAACTAACTAAACATTGTCCAGTTATTAAACACCTTAAAAGTACTATAACCCAATCAAAAATTGACATTTAGAAGGTAATATTAATTTAACTGAAGAGTGACCCAACCTCAAGGTTAAAGGGTAATTTACCTTAGAAAAAAAGATCACTTGTGCATGACAAATACAATTTCCCACGCTAATTTTTGAAAAATAAAAAATAAAAAGTTATGCTCCTAGATTGGTATTAGTTTAATGTCATCTTTGACCCTACTTTAATTTTATAGTCATCTAAGCTCAAGAATATCATTGGCTCCCTGATTAAGAATGATCAACAATCACGTACCCTTTAGTTAACAGGTTGTAATTTTTCTAGTTCCATTGCTAAATTTTATTTTCTTTTCTGATTTTCTCAGGAACCAAACGGAACACCAGTGTTTCGTGTTCTTGAATAGTGTATAAGCATGTGTTATCACTATCAGAATGGGAAATTAATAAAAACAGTTTATCCAAATTCTCTCTTTTGGCATGGCTTCCAATCTCCATTTTTTCTTTGTGAGTTGGATGCGAATATTGTTCCAGAAAAATGGAGGTCCCAATCGGATAAATCCAACTTCTTTCTCCAACTCAGTAGATGCCTCCTAGACAGATAAAAGAGGACCATCTAAGAATAACACGCGCGCACACAAAAATCTCTTTTATATATACTCCATGTCACTTTAAGCTTGGAGTACAATTAACCTTTTTAGTCCTAGACAGAGTCATGATGAAGCTACAATTTTTGTAAAATTGAAATAAACCATATGATTGAGATAAAAGAGAATCAATGTGTGACTGTCACCATGCAATATGCATGAATCCGTACCATCAAACACGTCCCTATATCCGTATGCAGAGATTCGTTATCGTGCAAGCTTTTATCGCGTAGCACTAGCTGTGCATCCATCGCTGTCAGCTAATGATCAAAGCTAGAGCTGTTTAGGAACCGAACTGAAACGTCGTAACGAAAAACATACATTCTCTTTTCCCTTCAATTGAAAAACTACATTCACAACTTTTGCTAGTGATCACAAAATGCGTACGCAGTCCACCACCATTGCCATCCTCTATAAATACCGCCTCGAAGATCAACTCTCTCATAGCGAAAAACCAATGTGTCCTCTCATTCATCACAATATCCCACATTTGTCCTAGACCTCCAATTTCATACACACACACACATATATATATATAGTACTCTAGGTGTACTTGAGTACTTTTTGGTGGTATAATTGAAATTGATATATTTGTTATACAATTACTGTTTTAGTGGAATATGGATAGGGTAACGAGAATGGTGCGAGAGAGGCCACTGGTGGTCTTCAGTAAGAGCACTTGTTGCATGTGTCACGCCCTGAAAACCCTATTTAGGGATTTTGGTGTGGACACTGCTGTCCACGAGCTGGATGAAATACCGAGAGGGCGGGAAATCGAGCAGGCTCTGATGAGGCAGCTGGGTTGTAACCCTGCCGTGCCGGCGGTGTTCATTGGTGGTGAACTGGTGGGAGGGACTAATGAGGTCATGAGCCTTCACCTCAATCGCTCCTTAATCCCAATGCTTAAGAGAGCAGGAGCGATATGGGTTTGATGTTAATTATATATATATATATATGTAACTTCATTTCCTACAAATAAAACGGTGTTTAAATTAGTTACATAAAAGTGAGATTAAGTGCTGGTACTTTCACTGGCATATATAGAGAGCATGATGTAGTCTGTGATAAATAATGTGTGCTGATAATAAAGATCAGTTTACAGTAATTATGAATTTCTTGTCTTTCAGAACTCTTTCACACAGCAAATAAATTAATGTTGGAAACAAGATGGCCCTCTAACTAGGGTTGATTTATAGTTTGTTTTATATGAGCTAATTCTGTTTCTGACGTACATTTCAATTCAAATTGCCGATTTACATTTTGAGATTAAAATTTCAAATTACTTAACCAAGTTTTTGAACTAAATGTGTTATTTGCTTTCTAAATTTGACAGACAACGGATTGAGAGACATATATGTGAACTGTTATATGGTAGAGCTCACACTCGGATTTCACGGTGAGTTATTGCATATCGGCAAGCCGTAAGTGCAGCACGATCATTTTATATATTTACCAAATTTATAGAAAAATAGCTCAATCAAACAAGACAAATGAAAAATAATAATAAATAAATGCATAAATATCAAATTTGCATTGGTTTCAGAGAGAATCTGATTTTTAAGTAGGTCATTGTCAGACTTGAAGCAAAAGCTAAATAAGGTAACAAGAGTAATTAAGCATAATAAGTGTCATAATTTTTTAAGAGGAATTGCTAGCTCTCAACTAGGTTCAAATAAGACAATACTTGGATTCTTACCGTGAAAACATAAATTCACACCATTCTCACCACATCACCAATAACAACAAATGTACACATTCTCTTTAATTACCAAATCAGAAATAACTCTGAGTACCTCATCACCCATCATCTATGATTAGATAATTGATCTCTGATTTGCTAATTAAAAAAAAATTAATTCAATTATTATTGAACGATGTAGACTAAATATATATCTTTATCGGTGAAAACATAAGTATTGTCCATTTAAATATAACCTCACCACATTTCAATTGCTTGCATCAATGTGGCCTTTTTAGCGCGACAAATAGGCATTTAGTGATGAAATTTATTTTAGACCTTCACGTTCAGCTATTGATATAATTCATTCATTCATTCAAGTTTTAGATGACTAGATCTTTCAAGTGGTTCATAAAAATTAACAATCAACCAACATCACTCTCAATGATAAAACCATAATGACCAAAACACAAATCAACTCACCACACCACACCACAAATCAACCATCAGGCACCTGAGTACAATAAGAAAACTACACTTAACAAATTAATGAGCAGGGTCAAGAAACCATTTTCTTAACACAGGCAATAATTGGCTATATATATATATATATATATAAAGAGTAACAAGATCTACCCCTAATTAGTAGTAGGTAAACATTTTCTTTTTCCAAATCCAATCAATAATTTGCAGAATAGTATTCAAATATAACAATAAACCACCAAATACTCAGGATTTAAACCAGGATCACAACATCCCAATCAGGACCAAAGAACCCAAGCAGCACTGTCCATGCTAATATTGTTCAAGCATTGAGTGAAAAACCGTTAAAGAGCAAACAAAGAACCGAGATTACCTGGTGTTTGACAATGCGGCAAGACAGAACTGTAAGGAAGTGCCTCTTATGGCCAAAAATTGTCATTTCTACACGTGAAACATCTCTCTTATACATAACGAGGTTCGTCATTGCAAAAACAAATCAAAAACGAAAAAACACTTCCTTTCACCAAGGATTGCCCGAGTGTCTTCGGCATTTTGGTGTATATAAATGGAAATCTCATATGAAGCAATACAGACAACATATAGAAGAGGAATAACTTTTACAAAGTCAAATGTTTTCCTTCATTTCTCTTTGTATTTTGGTAATTGTTCGATCAAGAACCTCTCAAGCAATTCAGTTCTTGTGACATAATTATGTATGATATGTCATATAAGGCAGTATTTTTATATGCTCGATGAGTCTCTAAATAACCTTTTCTTCTCCACAATAAAACCTTGGACAAAAAGAGCGGAACAAGCACACCTCCAAATTCACTTGCAAGTTGAAGTAGGAGCTTGTTCCCAGATTTGAAGGGGACTACACTAGATCGAGATGAACACACAGTCAATGCCAAAATGACAAATGTTGTGGAGCCGAACTTTTTCATTGTCCCAGGAAAAGGTTACAAAATAAATAAATACAACACCCACCAAAAATCGGAGAGATGTATGTGAATTTAATGGAAGAAGGCTATTTGTCATTATTCAGGAGCTATCAGGACGGCTATGAGCTTTGCTGGATCTTTTGGCTATGGATTATTCAAGATGAAGGCAGCAGCCATACAAAATATTATATGAACACATTTGAAGAGAACTATGGTTTGCTAGATCTAAAACCCCTAACCATGATGACTAAGAAAACAAGACTGCTATCAGAGGACTTGAACAAAAATATGCTGTATGGTTCATGACAATTCGATCAATAGGGACTACAAGGATTTGACTGGATCTTTTGCTCAGCGTGACGTAGAAACCTCACCACCTTGACCAGTGCTACTGCTAACAGTTGAAGGGGTAGAACTCTTACCAGACTGCTGGTCACTAGAATGAGGAACGGGCCCACTCTTTGAGAAAATTGAACCAACTGGACCACTAGACATGGTCACCGATGAAGACATTCTGGTTGGAACAGTGTCCTTGTTGGATCCAGAAACAAGTTCGGGCCTCAAGTCTGATGATGAGGATGATGGGGCAAGAGTACCAATTGAAGATCCCACAGGGTAGGGAGCAACAGGCATATCTGCAAGAGAAGACGCGGATGGACTGTAACTCAGTGTTCCCGTTGGGTGATCAAACTTGCATGAAGTCCCAAATTTGCATACTCCATTTTGTGCATAATGAGAGCAAAGCGGCGCACCCTGATAAGTAGGACCATCAAAAGCAAAATAATGTAAAAACTAAAAAGCATTTAAAAATACGGAACAAGTAAGCACAGGATAAAATGCCAACAAGGATTATAATAATTCAGTGAAAAATGCAAGCATATCCATATAACATATTTATATGCACGGATAAATGAATCACAATTACAAAAGGACGGAAGGATTGAAATGTTAAAGCAAAAGGCATATAAAGAGATTGATGAAGTGATTTCCATATGCAAAGTCTGAATGTATGCATAAGCATTTATGCCTAACTTCAAAAAGTTTTTTCAACATCAAGAACTGTCAATGAGAAGTTGAGAATGTCAACATGCAAATAAGATATAAAATTAATTGCTTGGGATGTCAAAAAAATTCTCAAAGTTTGCTTACATCAATATGTTGTAATTTTCTTTTGGATGCAGATCACATCAGGTATAATGACCACATACTAGATATCTGATTGTGAATGGCTATGCAACATTCTTAATTTTTGTTATCTTGGATCTACAGTATACAAAAAGATACCAAGTACAACATGTGAAAAGAATAAGATATTGGAGCTGAATATATGTGCTCAAGAACGATCATTTCTAGACAGTTAAATCAACAAAGTTTTTAAGGTAGATGAGGTAGAACTTTCAAAGATAACAGATTATGAGGTGAACTGAAAAACTTAATAGTAACATAAGGACCCAAAATGTTGAGGCTACAGTAGGGAAGAGTCTACAATGCATTAGCATAGAAATGGAAAAAACTAAATATCAATGAAGTTATGGCCAAAAAATGTTGACCCATTTCAGCAAAATTTGTCCTGTAAGTACCAGTACCAATCTAGCATCATCATATCAACAATAGAAATGAACATTATTAGTGGGTCCCACTAAGCAGATCAAGTACACCAACATCATCTAGGTTCATGATTTAGCCATTTGAGTTTGATATCAAATGGCTAACTCAGATTATTGCAAGTACTACAACTTATTGAATGTATTTAACTCTAAGAAGAGCACGTAAGTAGAACCTAACTTCTATAGCCATCGGGAAGCTGTAGGCACATGATGAAAGTTGGAACAAATATAAAATATTGACAGAATGTTTGATTCTGTTTCCACGCATACACTTTTTCCTGGATCACAGTTTCTGAGAACAATGGGAACTTTAAGAGCATGGCAATTTGTCTTTTTTTTATTATTTATCAGAAAACAACATTTTGTGTTCTTAAGGCTTTAAATGTTGCAAAAGGTGTCTCATCAAGATAAGAGGTCAATTTATAGTATATTAGTGAGGGTAAGTGGAGCTCATACCAACATGGACTCCTCATGAGGTTATGCCACGTGACTCCCATAGTCTGCTGTCACATGCAGTTCTATGGACAGCAAATGCAGCATTGAGACAGCATCAAGGCATTGAGGCAGCCAAGCTTCCTCAGTAAGATGTTACCACAGTTCAATGGAATGCCTCCACATATTAATAATGCCATCTCATGGAAGATTGCCAGATATGATATGTGTGGTCCAATAGGATGCTACCTCGCCATTAGGAGCATATTTGGGAGTCATGTGGCTTCACTCTCTCTCTTTAAGACAGGTCAAAGGTGTACACAGCAAAAGGATCACCTCGGCAAAACATAAATTTCCTAACAGGTCAAGTAATCCTAGGATCGTGAGTTGGAGTTTGCGTAACGCAAGGGGAGCAACACCATAGCTGGTGCACCAAGCTGCAACAGCCCATTGTGTCCAACTCCTAACACAACTATGCGAAAGGTGCAATGAAGTACAAGAGCCTCCTAAATCTCCTAATTCCTACTCCAGAACTAGAGATGCACAAAATACATCAGGGTGCAGGCATGCAGCAACACTGAGGCACATTTTATTAACAGGTGCACAACCAGAGAAGTGCTCAGTGGAATCTCATGAAGATTTAGCACCACGTGCCTTTGAACTATTGGCTAAACTGTAGAGTGCAGGGTGCAAGTTAACAAGGATGGAAAACCACACAGCCAGCAAGAATTTTGGTTCGATTGTAGAGTGTACAGTGACAAAGATATCTTTACTTTGTCAATATCGGCACTGCATGCGTAACCGTAGGACTAACGTGTTTGATGCTCATGGAGAATTTTCCTTCTCCTCCTTACCAAGCCATGAACCCTTGACATTGGGATAGTAAACTTAATATGAAATAACCCAACAGGAGATACGTCCACATGTTATCTGGAGATTGGAGAGTCAGCATGTAAAGGGTGAGTCCTGGCAAGATGAAGAGTGCCATGATAACTACTATTTGAGAGATATGTGACGAGCTGTCTACTCGTACCCTTGAGTGACATGTAAAGGCATGAAGTGGTGAATACATAACTATGTAATGCCTATGTGACAAGCATTGCTCTTAGCTACACTTGGAAATCAAATTTTAAACACAAAATTCATTCTAACCTAGTGAAAATAGAAATATTACAAAAGATGACATTTCACTACACTTGTGCATAGACTTTCCGATGGTGCACCTGATGAGGGAAAATACAATGCAGTAGCAAGCCGCGAGCACAAATAGACAAAATAACTAGTGCATAATTGGATGTAATAATGACTAAAATAATTGTTAGTAACAATTTTAATGTAAAATTATATTTGCTGACTGTAAGAATCTTCACCATCTCATGCGCCCATGATGCTATCCGGTCTCACCAGAAAAGTTCTCTAGAATGCTTTTATAAGTATTATGAGTGACTGCATGACACCATGTTAGAAAAGAAAAGCAAAAAGAAATGGTCTCAAAATCTAAATTATTCATGAAAGAGAATTATTACTGCTAGAGTTATTTTTCATTGTTTTTATAATTTGCAATTCTAACTATCTAGTTGGCAACTTTGAAGTATTTTCAAGTATATGTCTACGTATGTATATATATATATATGAAATTTTAGTATGTGTGTGCAGGCCAGCTTGGTGCAGGTTTCCAACTAGTTATAAATAAAATCCAAGTTGAAAGATCCCTAATGCTGGTGGAGTGTTGTGCAGAAAACAGAAGTATTAAATCACATGTGCCTGCTAAACATCAACTTCTACAATTTTTTTAAGAATATGTTTTAAAAGCAATGATTTGTGGATGCATACACAAATTGTCAAGTATCGACAAGGACCTCGAGTGTGCGATACAGCATTCCCAAAATTCAAGACAGGCACGCACAGAAGTTCATATGTGTGTGGTGCATATACATTCCTTATATTCATATTTTATGTGTACATATAGATAATTAAATTATCTAATTTTTATGTCCTCGATATGTTCCTTTCATTCAGCTTCTTCGCAAAATAGACAAGATGAAAATTTCTTTTCTTTGTTATGTTATTTCCATAGAAGTATTCTAATACAAGGAAGTTAACTTCACATTATTAAAAATTGGGGCCTTCCTGAAATTATCTAAAACAAGATGAAATTTCAGAAAATCTGTAGAACAAATTAAAAAAGAAGATTCCCTTTCCTTACAATGAAGAGATATCTGCCAATCAGGGCTGCCGCCTCTTAAACCTCATGGAAGCACAATGTCAAGAACTAGCAAATAAAACAAAGAAAAATAAGCACATCTGGCAAATGGTCGCTTCCATTGTCGACTTCCAACAGTAGGTTTAAGCTGAGATGAAGAAGATTCTCTTTTAGGGGTAAAAAAACATAAAAAAGTTCTCTCTCTCTCTCTCTCTCTCTCTCTCACACGCACATCATAACAGCCGTACGACTCACAATATTTGTAAACACGTTGACACGACGTCTGGGTCAACATGTGGCTCTCCCATAGGAGTTTTATTCTAATAAATAGAAATTTAAAAGCGAAGTTAACAGCAGTTGAAACGACACTTGATGAAAAAAGAGGCCTCAGTTTTGACCAAATGAAGAAGATTGAAAAGAATTTGGACATAATCACCAATAGTAGGCATTACCTTTGCAAGAACCCCACCATGGATAAAGTAGGAAAGCAGAAAATGAGTCTTAAAAGGAAGAATTCAGATATATGTTGCTTGCCAAGATCCATACAACAGAGGTTGGCTTTGCAACAGCAGCACATCTCATTAACTAATTACAAGACAAGACAAGGTTTTTCTTCCACACAAGTAATTATATAAAGCAAACAGGCAAAAAGAGGATCAGCTTATTCCAATGAGTTAATCGTACATTTGACACGAAGAGAAAAACAAAAAGGAAAAGCTGAGCAACTAAGCCAGAAAACAGAGCACTGAAATGTATTTCTGTGGTTAACAATGATCAATAAAATTAAATTCAGGGCAGGGCTTGATTCGAGGACAACACAATTTTTCTATCTCACTTAATGTAACTTTTGATGAAATGTTGGCATTTGGTAACATCATCTGGCTAGATTCCCTTGAACCTCAAGAATAGCAAAGATTCAATCTCAACTATGTATGAATAATATTGGCGCTTAACTTTGTCAATGATATCATGATTTCTGGACATGTTGATCGAGAAGTAACATTTATTTGTGGGAGTTTTTCAGAATCTTAAGATGTAAAAAGCTCATAGGTGAATACTTGAATTCCGCCGTCTGGTTATAAATTGGTGGAAGGGAATTATTTTGTCAAGAAAAAAATGCCAAGTAACTGCAAAAGGAGAAAAAGAGAAGAATGTCCTGTATTTGAAATGGAAATCCGCAAGTTGACGTCAACAAGAAATCAGCAATAAAAGGGAGTTGGGAAGTGAAATCAAGACATATGGAAAAGAGAAAGACGAAAGGCCGCGGCGGGGTTCAGGAAAGGCATACCATTAAAGAGGTGGGAGGGAGGACGAAAAGCACTTTAGTTATCCATTGCACTGACCATTGCAAGAAAATATAGCAACCTAATTCATCACCTGCAACTCTATATAACTAATATTTGGATATAGTGATAAAGATGTGTATGAATGCCTGTTATAAGTTTGGTCAGTGTACCTGAACACTCAACCCGAGCTTGTAGTTTTCCCAACCCAGACAAAACTGGCGTTGC